GCGTCCGTAGCCTTGGTTCTTTTGAAGGAACTTTAGGTCGTCGCTCATATGTGCGGAGATCTTAGGTAGCTATCGGTGAAGTAAGTCTCGAAGCAGGGTGAAACAGCACCTATCGAAATTGCGCGGCTGACAGCTACCCTGAACCATCATAAAATGACGGAAGGACCTCAGTATAGGGTTGCGGGTGAAATCAAATTATCAGCAGTAATGATGGTCGTAAGCTTCTTAGCAGTATTCTGAGCGCAATGCTTCTTTGTCGCCCCAACACTGGGAATCATGATTATCTTAATTGTCATGGTTGTGACTTAGGTATAGACTGCAAGGCACCATGGCGAACGCTTGGATGCTCTGCTTGGACAGGGTGAACCAAACAACATGTTCTAGAATGCTGGGAGAGCGGATCTGTTTCCAAGGAGCGGCAATCATCGCAATGCCACAGGGGCAGAAAATACACGCCGCAGCAGCAGCAGCAGCAAAAAAAAAAACAAGGCTGACAGTCAGACAGTAGGCAGTAGTAGCAGCAGGAGGGCAATGGAGGCGATGGCGGCGGGAGCGGCGGTGCTGGTGACGGTGGTGGGGGTGGTGGCGGTGGAGATGGCGGTGGCGGCGGAACCAGCAACGGCAGCACCAGAAGCCAGAAGCAATGGGCCTGTGTGCCAAAGTGCTGCAAATGGCAAGATGAGCAGGCCGAACAGGTTCTGACTCGCATGGGCCAGGCGGTTGTCAGTCGGGAAGCTCCGACGCCGTACCATCAACAGCCTTACGGGTTCAGGATTTATAGTTTAGGACTAGTTTGGAAGGGGGGAAATGGAAAGTACTATTAAAGACTGGATTAGGCTCCCACCCACCAATCATGACCACAGGGGATAATTGAAATTATACGAGAGTTCCCGCACATTCCTTTTATGCCGCTGTTTCCTGGCCTAACCCAAACTATATCCCAACGGAAGTGACTCATGGTACCCCCATAATCCCTCATAATTAACAGTTTAGGGTTTAGGGTTTCAGAACAATACGCCATGGCGGTGTGTATTTGTGGGCTTCAGATTTCAGCAGAGTCCACGGGTAAGGGTGCCTTAGTATGAGTCAGGGGTCCTCAAGGACGTGCTCTTGCCTAAGCCCTAAACCTATTGAGAAACCTACAGGGGCTACCACACGATCCAGTGCCCCGTGTTGAAAGAAGCCCAAGGCCTAAAGCCTACCCAAATCCTAGGCCCGAAAGCTGACATCCCCAAACCCTAAACCCTTAACCCCAATGCCCTCAACCCTTAACCCCCCTGAACCCTTAACCCTTATGATTAACCCCTACACCCTAAACCCTTGAACCCTTAACCCTTATGATCCAGTCTATCCTTCCCAGCAGCTTAGGAAGTCTGGAGTGGAGGTCCAGCTGACGAGCAAGCATTTGAAAAATCAGCGCTATGGGATGCATCGGGGTAAACCTTGCCAGGCTGGTTTTGGGCTGTACAAGGTTCTATGGGGTTCTAGAAGGTTCTATAGGGATCTATAGGGTTGTAGGGTTGGTTTAGAGCTTAGGGCTTAGAGTTGATGAAGAATGTACTGAAACATGACATGGAAACTGGAGGCTTCTAAGGACTCATAAGGAATAGCAGGGAATGGAGAAGAAGTGGAAACTACAATTTGGGGTTACAGTCCCCCTTGATAGAACATGGGGTATATGGGAACCTTAGTATAATATGCCCTACTTTAGGGGGGACTATAGGCTTGGGGTTAAGAATGGAGGATCAGAACGGAAAATCAAATGGAGCACAACTGCAAGCTGGGTATGTATGTGGAAAAGGGTAGCTTGTTGGGTTTAGGGTTTAGGGGAAAGAAAATGGAGACTGCCTGTTGAGGGAATGATAATTTGGACACAGGATTCTCTATTTGCTGTGGTACCCTCCCCACAATCTTGTTCCAGCTATCTATTGGTCGCGAGGGGGGATAACACGCAAAAATGAAACACTGCTTGCAGGACAACCCCCCATAACCCGTTAGAATCGCAATAGCCCCCTCCCCACATATGCACAATGTTCAGCCCATGCTCCATTATCTTTTGATTTGTTCCTCCATAAGTTCAAGAACCTACCCCAAACCCTAAATCTAAATCCTAAAACCTAAATCCTAAACCCTAAATCCTAAATCCCAAAACCTAAATCCTAAACCCTAAATCCTAAAGCCCAACTCCTAATCTGAGAACTAGAGTCAGGACATTCCTACGGCTTCGGATATAATTTGGGGTTGAGGGTTTAGGATTTATGGCTTTAGGTTTAGGGTTTAGGGTTTGTAGGTCCTTCTTCTTCAACTTCTGAGACTGTTGTGGGTTTAGGGTTTAGGATTAGGATGCAGAGCATCAACGTTAGCATCGTCTTCAGCAAGGTGTAATGGTGTATAATTAAGCTGTAGCTGGGGTTCTAACGGGGCTATAGGGGTTTATATTATGGTTACATTGCGATACTTTGCCCTAAACCCCCAAACCTGAATCACGTGGAAAAGATAAGGGAACCTGCATGCTCTGATGCAAGCGCGGCACATTACCATCACCAAGAAGTTCATCTTCAGCAGCTTCAGTTCCTGCAATCCCCTAGACCTATAATAATCAACTATGACATTTAATTTGGGTTTAGGGTTTAGGGTTTAGGGTCTACTAAAAATATTGAAAAAAACATTCCTACGTGGATAGGAGGTTCATCTAGAGGATCCATTGGCCGCAGCAGCCGCTGGTCCAGAGGCCCGAAGAGGCCACCAATAACTGCGGCCCCCTGCGGGTGGCAATCTCCACAGATATCAGCATGGCATGTTGGGCAGTGCCTCAGCCAGCAAAAACAAAATATAGTAATGAAAGTAATAAAAATCAGAACAACAATAATCCCTAAGGGTCCAACAACCCAAATAATAGGGTTTTAGGGCCCAAATACTATAACATTAATGGTATTTGGGCCCTAAAGCCCTATTATTTGGGTCCTTGAACCCTTAGGGAATGATTGTAGATATACCTCCTTGAGCTCCTACAAATGGCAACAGTGCTCTGCAGTGGCGTGGCCATCTGTGAGCGCCGCGGTTCTCACTGCTGCATTGACATACATCCTTGGTTCTTGTTGAAATACAATTAAAAAATCTTTTATATTTTATATTGGGACAAGGTATCCTTAAAAATGTAAAATTTTGTTCTACAAGAGCCCAGCATCGTGGTGTCGGCATTTCCAGCCTGCTTCTTGGTCCCTGTCGGTCCAGTGCATATCCCTCTTGCAGTCTGTGCAGTAGGGGCCGAAAGCCTGGCGCATGCCATGGCTTCTCATGTTGCTCCGTGCGGAGCACGTTCGTGCAAAACAGTGGCAGAACCCAGCCCGCTTAGCAAACAGGAACCTCTACTGCTCTACGATGCTCTACGATGCTCTACGCAATTGACCAGGCCTTTGATTTGTCGTCTTCCTCCACGATCACTGGGTCTTTGAATGGAAAACCCTTCCAAATGTAAGGGAGGCCAAGGACAGCTCCGTCCAACAAGAAAATGAAGGCAACAAGCCGTCCGAGTCCTGGCTTGTCCAAGCTACCCGGTCCCCACTCTCAACTTCTCGCAGTCTGCACGCGTGGAACCTAAACCTTGAATAGTAGCTTCCATTATTCCAATACAACCCCTATATAACCGCCATAATCATAATTCACTTTATAACCCCTACATCCCCAAAGCCTGTCGTATGTTCATGTGCTTCACTGAAGTCGGAGTCCTCGAAGGAAGCCACAGCAACACGAGCACAAGCTGCAACCGCGAGAGGGAGGATCTTCATCATCATCCGACTGACGAATAATCTCTACCTGGACCCCAAATGTAGGTAAAATAATAGCCCAAACACCCTAGAAATAGCACAAAAGGTCATCATTCTACATACTTTTGCGGTTCAGGTACTTGCACATGTATCACATAAGCCTCAGAGTCACAGAACAGCACTGCAGCAGATCAGACATGCCCGTGTCTCAGTGCACTGCAGTTTCTTACCGGTTCTTAGCAGGGGAAGAAGGGAATATAATCCCCACAAAAACCCTATTATATATACATATAATGCTATATTATACCCCTATGTTCCCTTACTCCCTACTATCAGAACCAGTAAGGTTTCCGGTGGCTCAGAAGCTGACGACCAGTGGTACAATAAACAGCATCAGGATCTCGACGAAGGGAGCCACCACAAAGAGTCCGCCCAGCCATGCATAGAATACTTCTCGTCGCCTGGGTTTAGGGTTTAGGGTTTAACCTGCAATCACCCAACCAACCAACAACTGGGAACCGCTGGAACGCCGTGACCTCGAAATTTGCCAAGGCGCTGCTGAAAGTTGAGCTTGGACCTCGCACAAAAGAGCGTCCCGGTGCAACAGGTCAGGTCGTCAGGCGCACACGATCGAACGACCCGACAGGCCTTGGACTGGCGGCGTTGACACGCGCAAAGGAATGCTACAACTTGCTATGCTGTCACCGTTCCACGGCAACACTCTTCCTTCTAGCCAACCCTCGGACAGTAGCAGTAGCAAGTATCAGCTGATGAAAGTAGTAACTCGGACACTGACACTTTCACTGCACGACGCGAGACTTGCAACCCTAAACCCTAAACCAGCCCAAGTGCCTGATAATCCCAAAAGATGTCGCAGCCGCTGGAATCATCCCATTCTCTGGGTACTGTTTGCTCCCACTCAGGGAGAAAGGAGAAGGCCAAGTAGGAAAACATCCCGATGGTGGCAATAATGTCAATGAACATGGCTGTGAAGTGCTCTACAAACCTCAGGCCACATTACCCTAAGAAAAAAAGCCATAAATACAACGAATCCCATACACCAAAAAGTGTAAGCCCGATCCCTATAATATTCCTATATAACCCCTATATCCCCCTTTAAAGGATCCCTAACATTGATCCAGAAACTGTCGCAGGATCATGCTGCGGAAGTTCCAAGTCCTGCCATTCTTGACTATCTGGACCAGCAAAAGTATGTAGAATTATGTGAGCTTCAGTCTAAACTGCTTAAAAGGGGTTATATAGGGGATGATCTAGGGGACTATTATCGAGGTTATTAAGGGGGATACTAGGAGTTTAGACTATAGCTCGTGTAGACTAAAGATCCTCTTAGGTTCGGGTTGTGGGGTTGAGGCCACTACATACCCTACTGTAAGGCGTTGATGTATGCGGCCATGTTAAACACCACAGACTGCTGCTTTCTGCAGGGGCACTTTGCAATTCGATACGCGAAGGCTTTGCAAAGCTCGCCAGTCGCCACGTTAAGCGTCAGTGCCAGCAGAATGTCGCAGCCAATCCTTGAATATTGCGCAGGTACCGTTGGACTAAAAACACGGTTGTGTTGAATGCCTATTGGTTCATGTATTTATAGAAACCTAACTTCCTAATCGCCCTGAACCCTAGCCCCAAAAGCCTAAAACATTTGACCACAACCCAGAATCATAGACAGCACGCCGGCGAAGCCATGCTTGTTTGATGGATCGTGGCATCCGAGCTTGTAGCAGTCGCCCCATTCATAGATCCTTAACTGCATGATGCTTGATGCTGCTTTCGCAGTATTACTACGATTACTACCATTACTGCTATTACTACTATTACTATTACTACTCTCGCTAGTATTACTACTGTTTCTACATCTGATATTGTTACTATTAGTACTGTCATTAATACTATTGCTACCACTACTATTATTCCTTGTACTACTGTTATTACTATGAATACAGTTCTGCTGGCATGACTAATGCTTGCTAGTATTGCAGTGATCACTCTTATTTCTCACATTACTACTCTTGTTCTTACTACGTGGTAGCTGCATGATGCTTTCTGGAGCCCCAATTCGGGGAGGAAGCCAAAGACAGGCCAGATGCATCAAGGGGTAACAGATGCAACGACACCACCATGCAGTCAATGACTTGCAGTTTTGTTGACTCGGAGAATGTGATGGTGCTGCTGTAGAATTCTCTCAACAAATAGTAAGGTCATGGCGGATTTCTGCTATAAGCATACAAGGGACTGTAGTCTCCTTAGACCTAGAATAAGAAATATGCTTATTGATTCCTCAGGGCTGCAGTGCAATAAAAACATAAACAATCCTAAGGAGACTACAGGGGATACAAGGGGATGACGGCAGTATGTAGGCCTCTGGAGTCATGCAGCTGCTGCCTGTGTCAGGCATCCTCGCAACCACGGATGCCGAAATCTTTTACGGCCTTATCCACCCTATGCACCAGGACTTTTACATTTTTTGGGGGGGGATTAGGTTGTACAGTTAGGGACCCTAGGTCGTACAAGATTTCGTCCATCCACAGTGCGAAAGGTGCCACATTTTGCGTTGACAGGTATCGGCCGGCAGAGGTGATGTGATGCTCCACCTCAAACCCTGAACTGAAAATGACAAGGTGCCTTAAACTCGGCATACTCGACCGTAGACCCTAAACCCAATCCCCATAAACCCTTCTCTGTGGGACCCTGGGTTTACTGATGGGTTAGGTAAGCTGCGGATGAAGGACTTCAATGGGGTTACAACAGACTTCTGAAGTAGATATAGTATATTGCCAAACTCTCGGATACCCTCGAGGTAATCCCGGAACCCTTGCAACTCATGTGAGCTATAATCTAAACTCCTAATATCCCCCCAAAAAATCATCCCTGTGATAGTGCCCCATATAATTCCCTATATAACCCCCCTAAGGAGTTTAGACTATGGCTTATGTTGTCCCTACTAACCCCCCAACCTTAGCAACTGCGAGCCAGGTTGCAATGAGAACTTTAGCTCCATGGTGACCAGGAGGAAGAGTCCGGCAAGAACGAGGCAAAGAAGGCTTCCCAGAACTGCACAGGCGGTTTAAGCGTTTTAAGATTTAGCACATGGCCCAAGTACTACTAGTGAGGGGAACAGGGATTAGAGACTTTGTAGGCGTTGTTGTATAGGGATTATATGAGACATGTATAGGCATTTTAGGACTTAGGGCGTTAGGCACTAAGCTTTTTCACTACCGACCTACCTTTTTAAAGTCACGCGAGAGTTGTCCGGTCCTAATTTCAAGGTTTTAGGCTTTACGATAACTCTTCGTGGGGTAGAAGTGAGAGCCCAATTGCAGGCCTCGGGCAGCTACCCAACTACGGGGTCCAAGAGTTGATCACAAAGATTTTGGGGCTTAGGATACTCAAAACCCAACCCCCCACGGCTAGACCTTCTGACCCCTTCCTGTTTGGCAAGCTTGAAAGCTGGACAGCTAGCCGTTTAGGCGCAAAATGTGATGATCAGTACTATGGCACCTCCAGAACAGGGGCCCCTAGTTTGTTGAAAGCCCCGATAGCGTGAAAGCTCTATTCCAAGGATCTCGAGAAGCTGCGTTGCTGGTGAGGAACTTAGGTTACCATCATAAGGAGATACAGTACATCTTGCGATTTCCTGACTATGGTAACTTAATCTAGGATCCCCAGTTACCTAGAGCCAAAAAGGTCTCATATTTGAGTTTTGAATGTAGATTCCTTTAAGAGGAACTCAGGAACCCAAGAATGGAAAAAAAAACGCTTACTCAACATGGCTGCAACTCAAGTTTGCACACAGCAACCCAACAAGCATAAGAACCCATACTGTGCCTGTGAGGAAGACACACCAAATCAGCCACGGCTTGTGATAGGCCGTCTTCTTGAAATCCGGATTCTGAGTCCTGGGCTTCTCCGGCTGAGGATTTTAGGGTTTAGGGTTTAGGGCATAGGGTTTGGGGTTTGGGGCTACCAGAACCTGAACCACAGTTGTAGGCCAACCGCAGGTCCCCGGAAAGTTGGCGAACCTCATCTCGGACTTTAAATAAGTGGATTTGGGGTATGTCATGCCCCAAAACAAGGATCCTACAACTATCAGATGACTTCTGTAGGGTCATTATTAGGGGGGTAGGCTTGTGACTCGAGAGGATTTGCCCATCTGTATGGTTGTTACATCCTACTTCCAGCCCAAAAGATCATAGCAAACTGCCGCTTTAGACAGGACCATGTGAGTTCTCTCGGGGGTGGCCGGACTTCACCCCAAACCCGAAACCCAAAACCCTAAAGTCATCTTTCAACTGCAACTTTCTACCCCAAGTAGGATTCCAAAAATGTTTGCTTACAGCGCCCCCACAAGGCCTAAACCCCCTCAACCCTCTGAAACATAAACCCTGAACCTCAAAGAGTATCCTGGTAGTAAAACGTTACTATAGCAACTACTGGTACGACGACTACCAGTCTCAATATGGTTCATATCATCATTTCGTTTCCTGTCATTGTTACTGCTAGTCATAATTATTGCCAGTGAGAACTGAACTGGGTGGTACTTTAGAGGCCCCCTCTTTTTAATGAATAGGTTCCCTTTACCAGCCATAGGGGAGAGTATACTTATCCCAAAAAGTGCTTAGATAACCCTAGACCCTGCCCTAAACCCTGAACCCTAAAACCCTAAACGCGCCATGGCGCAGGTTGACCATGGAAGCAAATTCGCTTCCTGCACCTGTTTGTGACATGATCCTTCGCAACATCTGCCTCTTCCTGGGATCAAGGGCTTGGGGTGTAGGGTTTAGGGTTTAGGGCTTAGGATTTAAGGCTTAGGGTTTAAGTTTTTTGGACACCGCGTTTAGGGTTTGGGGCTGAGGGCTTACGGACCCCTAAGCTCATGACCTCATGCATTCCTTGCATAATGCTGATGTACACCCCATACCTCATTCCGGGAGCAACGGAATGTTGATCTGAGATCAGGTTTAGACTAATGAATGTACGAAGTATGTCACATCAACATTCACCCTAAACACTGAACCCCAAGCCCTAAACCCTAACCAGGGCCGAGGCTTAGGGCTTTCGAGGTGCTTGGGCCTTATGCCTCAGGGCTCACCATGGCATTTAGCACCCCTACAAAACGTTAAGTTCTAGGTACCTGTAAAAGGAGTATTACAGGGCCTAGGGGTCTAAGGTCCCAGCTTAGTGCCAGGAAGGGTTTGGAGGCTTAGGGTTCTGGGGTAGAGCTTAGCGCGAGTGCAAGTAGATAGGTCGCATAAGAGCTTTCAGAAGCAAATGCATGAAGCTGCTTTATCTACAAGGTTTACAAACTAGAGCTGTTGTTTTCGTTAAGCCCTAAACCTTAAACCCTGAACTCTGAACCGCGTGGAGGCGGCAGCTTTGGCTTGATCTGGCTAGCAGAGCCCCTGTTCAACTTCTAGCCTAATCCTACTTGACACTGAAGGGTGTGTCAAATCGTTTCCCAGACCCCAACAGCAGAGATCATTCGCTAGCTTGACCAACAGAATGATCGCGCTCATTCTGAGCTGTTTCTGACCTGAAGTTGAAGTCTATGGTCCCCCTTAGGTAGATAGAATATTGTGTATATGGGGGGTCTCATTATAGTATACCCAAAGCCATATTCTATCTACTTAAGGGGGACCATAGATTTCAACTTCAATGGACGAGGCTCGTTATTGCGACCTTGTTAAGGTCGGCGACCCAAGTCTTGCTCTCTCCAGCCTCATAGGACTGAACAAACTCACGTCGATGTCGAGCTCGCGCAATCATCACAATGGCCCAGAGCATCACAACCACCTGATCAAGAGATAGACTGTCGGAATCTACTACTGACCTAGACGGATGTGATATGGGGGCTGTTGTGGGGTTCTCCTGGAAATAATATATAGATTACCAAGCGGGTTTATTCCCCCATCACACGAAGCCAATTAAGCATGCATATGATAATTGCACAACCAAAAAATACACATTAAAGCAGGAGTGAACAGCGACCGCTACGACAGCCACACGATCTCCGGTATCAAGCCCCCCGCGTGGCGTGCAAGAACCCCTGAAATGTCCATTGCTGCTACGTTCCGTAGGGATCAAGCAGCAATGGGTCCTATAGCGATATTATGTTCGTGTTGGTAGACACAATAACAATACTAATACTACTACTGGTAATAATACAATTGCAATAGTCATCAGAAGAATTGTAGTTATTTATTAATACGACAGAAACTCTGAATTCCCAGCCTGGAGCGTGTAGAACTCCCAACTGGATGCATCCAAGCGCTCAGCCTCCTCTTCGACGATGAAGGCGAAGGGTACACACACAGCAAGCCTAAGAAGACGTGTCGCAAGGGAAGCAATAACAAGTCTTCTTTCTGGTTCGTAGCAGGGAATATGGGAATATATGGTATAGGGATTATCTAGGGATTATATTCCCGTATTTCCCGGCTACGAAGCAGTAAGTCACGGAAGTAGTGAAGAATGGGGTGTCCTGTATGACTTCTCTACAGCCTTTCTTTCGTGGCTATGATTTGTTTTAGAAGACAACATGTTTACCTAACAATGACCCAGGAACAAAGGCCAAATGCCTTGCGTGTACTGGTTCATCCATGCCAGAACGTAGGACGTTGATGGAGCATACTGCTCCTTCACGTGGCGCTGCTGCTCCAGCAGGCAAAACGGCGTCAGGATGCGGAGGCTGCGAAGGAGTCGCCAGAACCAACTGGGCGCGCACAACTCAATGCAACGACCGCTATCAATGTGTCTGAAGGGTGACAAACACCTGCGAAAGCAACAGGTCCAACTCAGCAACGCTAGCAACTATAGAAGCAAACGACAGCACCAAAAAATATACAGCAGCAGCACGAACGGGCAGCAAAGTGGCTACTCGCCCCCAACTTCTTTTCAAATTTGCAACTTGCGACGATCAGCTATTGAGGACTCTGCTTGGCATGTGTGCTGTTGTGAAATGAGTTCCAAAAAGCTTAAACGCGTGGGATTACATTAGATTTGTGTCTATATCAGGGCCTCAAGTCGGTCATTCTTGCTGGCGAGGCACCATTCGGTATCACTCATCACCTGTGAGTCTGGTAGGGCGCCTACAAAAATGGGAATAGGGTCTTGGGGGCATACCATGCTATAGCTTGTTAAGGATTACAAAGGAAAACGTTGGTAATTCTTCAGGCTTCTACTCATTACTTGCGTGAGTGCATGAGGAACATAGGCAGAAGATGTTTGCGCAAGGGTCGGAAAAGCCAGTTAGGCTAAACAAGGAGAAGCATGGAAATGTTCAAGGACTTGTCTTTGTGTACCTCAGCTGATGTAGAATGCTTGTTAGATGGTCTTGCAAAGCGGGCCACAACTTATCTGAGAATCCCGCATAGAAAGTGAGGCGGACCGAAGTACGGCTGTTTTCTCCATATTCTTACTACAGTCTTGATGAGCCATACTTGGAACTCTAGTATCCGGCTTAACGACCCTTATAATCCTCCCCTATATAATCCCCTGTAGAGCCGCCCTAAAAGGAGTGAAAAACTACAGCTCATATGGCAAACTGAAAAATCCCTATTCAAGGGGACTACTCACATAGAAGCTCCGCCTGGCATACCAGAAGGGCTGCAGCCACATCCTCGGATGAGCAAAAATTGAAACCAAACCTACGGGTTTTGGATTTAGGGTTTAGGGTTGCTACTTGATGACGTTTCCCAAAACGGGGAGCGCATTTGGGGCGCTAGGGATATGGCATTTCTACATATATACATATATATATATATACGCGCCGTACACATAGATTAAGGAGGTCCCCCTCGAACACTGTACAAGGCTTTTCCCTCAGCAATCACCCTAAACCGTGATTTGACAGACTCCACATGGCACTTTTTTCAGAACAACAAGAGCATACAGGTCAGGGGTTCCTCTTGGGGATTATGGAGGGCTTTCAACGGGGAATGCTATCGTCCTTGTATAGGGCCCCCAAATCCGAACATTTGGGAACCCCATTTTGAGAGCGCCCTGAACCCGTAACCCACGCACCGCAGACCCCTGAACCACAACCCCCCAAAGCGCTAGAACCCTACACTATATGTCCCTATACTCCGTGCACCCTAAATCCCTAAACTCCTACTTGTGGCCCACATTACCTAAAGTTTATTCATACGTGCCCTCTAAATAATTAGTAAGCACAACCCCTAAAACTGTAAGTAATTGGAGTGACAAAGGCCCTATCAATCCCCATTTAACCCCGGATTCCATTTCATTTCCATTTGCTTCTCCACTGGACTCTCCATTGTTGGAAGGCAATATCCATGAAGCATAACCCATAAACCCCAAATCCTCCTTATATGATCCTCTGGGTTGAGGCGTGAGTCGGGAAAAAGAAAAGGCGTGAGTCAGGAAAAAGAGGCGTGAGTCGGGAAACAGGGAAAGCGTGAGTCGGGAAAAAGCGGCGTGAGTCAGGAAAAAGGGAGGCGTGAGTCGGGA